GTCTCCGATTAGCATTATGAGTTGATTCTGTATTGTTTTACTAGAATATCGTGCATTCGCGCGGCAGGTCGCTAGGTGGTTCTTTAAAACTTCATCGCCTGAGTCAACACGTAATTCCAGCAAAGCTAGAAAGTTGCCCCTGTTTCCATTTTGATCGGCAGTGCTGTCATCTCTATGGCCTCTCAATGCAATGCACTGTTTGCCGCAAAATGGACGCACTTTGCAACACTTTTCACAATTTCTCTGTTTCTGTTAATCGTGCGCCCGCGTTCGCTTTCAATTTGAACTTGGATGTTTTTGCGGATTCCGACTTGTCGAGAGAAAATTATCGTATGCAACCATGGCATCGATGTGGTAACGATGTTTCTCATGTTCGCCACACACTTTACTTACTTTTGTCCACCGATTGAACGGAGTGGTTACTAAGGTACCTAAGCTTTCGCGTATGGCAAATAAAACGCATGGGAGACAGAAACCACCGTCACATTCCTTGCTGTAAACGAGCCAAGGATAACGTTGCTGCCAGGATATTTGGAAAGACCGATTACAACCATTCATAAACACTTTAGGAAAGCATAATTCTCTCCTGGTCGAAAATGGTTATTTATGATGTTCAGTTTCTCAGCTTGATTCAGAGACTTAAAAGCTGTTTTCTGACGAAAAAGAGCACCAACATCAACGTCATGAACCGAACCATAACAAACAGGATCATCTCCATCTTTATCAGTCTGTGACGCTGCAATGAAAGCAAATTGCCATTGTACTACCTTTTAAAATTCTTTTAATACCGTTTTGACATACGTTTAGAACAGGACAGGTAACAGAAATCGCACAATTTTTACAATACAACTAATGTTCTTTTTCCTTGCACAGAAAGCCAGGGTGTTTGACTTGCAAAATATTTCTGTGGACTTCTAGTTTAAAGAGATAAATAACCCAACTTGACATGTTTAAAATCAGTGAAAAGTCGTTCCCACAAATTTGGGTGATCCCAGTTAGGGGAAAAAGAAAATTCGGAGAGTTGGCAATTCTGCAAAATATCTCGAGCTTGATTTTCGGATATTGTTTCACATCCACCAGCGTCGATAATTTTAATGTCAGGTAAGGATTTTACTACAGACACTAAGGAAATTCCGCCTACTTGAAAACAATTAGGCATTCTTAATATTTCCAGTGTACTTTTTTTAAAGGGAAGTTACTAGACTTTCTAATGTAATATTTTGGCAACTTGTTATATCAAGTTCCCTTAAAGTAGGCATATGTCTCACAAAGTGTAAAGAAGAAATCGACGTATTGTATGCAAGATCCAAAGATATTAAGTTGCAACAATTCATTAATTTTTGTTCAATAAAAAAGGGTCAGTAATAAAAGTTAGAGGTCTTTGCGAATGTCTAAAGCCTAGATGCCGTAAATCCCTATCGTGTCTAAATAACGAATTAAACGAATGAAGCGTAAATTCAGCGTTTGAATAAACAGTTCTCCAAAGACTAGAATCATGCATGACATCATAAAGATATCTGCAGACTGGTGCAAGGTATATCATGCGTTCTTCCAATGAGAGCCACTTTGATATTTCCAAAAGGACTTCGCGAGGAAGACTCATCATGGTAGCACCTGAGAAAATATTGGAAAAGCCCAACTCAGACATAATAATGGACCTTGTTTACATTGTTCATTTTATTCATTCCGCCGGCAAGGTCTCCAACAAAGCCGCATCAAACTGATAATGATCGTGACTCGACACACCTGCATGTTTACAAATTTTTCTTGGTTACTCTGGATTGTCACATAGAGAACAGAATTCTGCTTTTAAAAAGCATGAGTCAGTGAAGTTAACAACTGAAGCACTGCTTTGCACCTAACATTGTGTCCGAGCTTTGATGATGGCAATGACGTTTTCCATTTTTATGTCATATAGAAGCTTAAGCTTTCTGATTTATATCACTAATTTCAAAATGAAATACCTTGCTTTGAAGAAGATAGAGTTGTCTCATTTTGTCGAGCGACGGTCACTGGCAAATCTTCACTGCCTCTACCGGTTTGGGTCACTTTTTCGGTCTCTGTAAACACAAAATAAAAAAAAAGTGTTGACAAGTGCCAAATTGATAGCTTGTAGTATTTTTGTTATGGAAAATGTTCTTACCGGCATCGCTAGAGCAACAAATCCTCTTTGCACTACTCGAGCTCTCATTCAAACTGCTGGAAGAATTAGATGATTGGTCAAAAGACTCATTATCTTCGCTGGTCTCCGATCTAGAGAAGAATATTTAGAATGTAAACTTATGATATTTCAGTTTTAAATCGATTCATGAAGCAACTCTCGAGAAATCACCACTGTCTGCTTGCTAGAATTAAGCGTACTCGTGTAATACACTAATCTATTAATGCTTACCTTGCTGATGACGGTCCGAAAAACCGGTGAATTAGTGGTTGCTTTGTCCTCTTCCACATATTAAGTCGTGAGTTGACGTCGAGGAACGTTTAAGTCAGTTTTCTCTTCAAAACACTCCCGGCGCAATCTTTGACTCACTGAGAGAACGATCCACAACTCTGATTTCCAAAGAACGGCGTGGCTTTACGCAATGCCGGAATTGGAATGATTGGCAGATTTGGCATAAACTGTCAGTTTTGGCGGGACGTGTAAGCGTTAATAAGCAGTAGTTTTATAGCTCAAGCGGACGTACTAGAGGCCATTTTCAACTAGGCACAAATTTGTCTTGTTTTTATTGCTGTTTTCGCGTACAAAGACACAAAGAAATATTATTTTCAAAATATATATTTTATTTTATTAGCTGAGTTGGTTCACTTTTTTTTAACCACGTGTTTGTTATACGTTTTCACATCACGTTCAGTTTAGGGGGTTCGACCGAACCACCCGAACCACCCCTAGATCCGCCACAGGGTAATAAAGCGTTAAATCATAGTAAGAGCCTTGATCACCAAAACACTAACTGTTTTTTCTTCGGAAGGAGAGGAGAGGGATAATCCATGGTGTTCCTGTGAACTATTTTGCGCGGTTACAAAGCATATTGTGCGAAGTGTTTTGCTTATGGGCGACCATTTTTCCTTCGATCTGGCGGTTTCGATTCATACTGTTAACATAACATTTAGTACCGTTGTTAGTTTGCATTTGGGCACTTTTTGTGGTTTTGTATAGCTTTAAAAAAGAAACAGCCGTGCCTAATTTTCTGTCCTTTTACAAAGATCCTCAGTTGCGATGGCCTGGTGAAGTTTCGTTGAAGTGCGGTTCGCCTCAGTTAAACCTCAGCAAAAGACAATTCGCCCAGACTATCAGAATTAGACCCAATTTTTAGCGGTAAGTGTTTGAATATTGTTCATTGTCTGTTTGCCGTTGAGAAAGGATAAGTCCAGTGTAGTCTGAACTTTTATGGCAGCCAGTTGAGTGCCAAAAAGGACATTATTTCGCCCCAAGTCTCTAGTCACATTCACACAAACTTTAGTATTAATGTGGCTAAAGACTAAAATCACACAAAAATAGAATTTCATCTTTCAAAGTCCAAAGATAGTTCTTTTGCCAACGAGGTTTCATTTGAAGGGTAATGTGCCGATCAATTTGAAACTTATCATCCCCCGCCTCTGGAGGCACCAACCCCCCCCCCGAGATTTGTATTTCTTCAGACAGGTCTTTTGAATTTTCTGTCCAGTGTTCTACCATGGTCCTGGATTTGATTGTCAAATACCCCTCACTTAAATAATTGCTGTTTGGTAAATGTTGTGACTTCCTCTTAGTTTTCACAGGAGCCATAAGGGTTTGTGAGGGTTTGCTTGGTTGTGAGTAAAAACTACCTCCTTAATCACATCACTTTTTGATACACGTTGTTGGTCATTTAACATTATTTTCAGTTTTTTCACTTTTCATTGGCAAGTTATTCTAACCGTAAATAACAACTACGGCAACTTCTCCTAAAGCCAAGTGTAGGAGGCACCTTGACAGGCAAAGTCTACTTGATGTTGATCGGCAATAAAAAATACAAAATTTTAAAATTACATTACCTGGTACCTTAAAAAATATTGCATTGGTTTTTTAGTCCTTTTGTTAATGTACATAGCCATTCCGACACTAATGAAACAGGGTGCAAAGAAAATCATTTGCCATTCGGGCAAGCTGAAGTTAGCATTTACTAGCCCAGACGTCATTTCAACTAGCCCCAAAAGCTTTTCGTCGAGCACAATTGATTTCACACTTCTTCTGTTATTCGAATTCCTCAAAGAAGATCACTTGCCCGTCGGGCAAGTTTAAAAACAGATTTCACTAGCCCGATAGCAAAATCCACTAGCCCCGGGCTATCGGACACTACTTTCTTTGCACGCTGTGAAATGTCTTTTCCTGTAAACATTTCCTTCTCATAGATGTCATGGAACAATATTGTTAGACACCATGCAGATTGTATAATGAAATTTAACTTCAGACACACCCATTCAAATTCTCTCTCTTACCCATCCCCCCCCCCCCCAGAAATGCCTTAAAGATCATATTCCCTACTCCAACCCCCCCCACCCCTGTGGAGCATATAAGTTGTTGAAACAGTGTACAAAGAAAGTAGTGTCCGATAGCCCAGGGCTAGTGGATTTTGCTATTGGGCTAGTGAATTCTGTTCTTAACTTGCCCAACGGGCAAGTGAAGTATTTTGAGGAATTCAACTTACAGAAGAAGTGTGAAGTCAATTCTGCCCATCAAAAAATTTGGGGGCTAGTTGAAATGACGCTCGGGCATGTAAATGCTAGCTTCAGCTTGCCCGACTGGCAGGCTGTAAAAATGACTTTCTTTGCATCCTGTGAAGTTTTAAATTGATTGGCAAATGACACCATATTCATCCAAGATTATATTTAAACTTAAAGTCAAGTGACAAATAATCTTGCATAACTTTGTCCTTAGCACAGTTATGGCATGTAGGTGACCACCAAAAACCTGCTTTCGTAGTATTAGGTGCTAGGAGGGAAATCCTACAAAAGTATGAATTATTTAGTTATTAACTGTTTAAAAAAAGGGATAATAGGCAGATTTCATGAAACAAATTTCACAATACATGTAATTCGTAATCAAAATTCTCAGTGAATTTCTCATTTTTGAGTAGCAATCACTCATTTTTATCTTTTCTGTGCTGTGATCTTTTTAATCTATTATTTTATATTAAAGATCCAGAAGGTTTATCTGTAACTATTCTGGTTTTAGGGTGAAAAACAAGATTTTTTTATCAGCTTGATAGAGACAAAAAATTGTCTTGTTGTTCTAGCTTGCTTTCCTCATTTGATTTTTTCATTAATGCCTGTCCCCTGTTTGTAACTTGTGTCAGGACCTTACATTTCCCTCTACAGTAAATGTATTATTATTTTATCAATTTGCATTAATATAAAATGTGATCACTGATTTTGGAATGCATATTGTGCAGATAACATGGCAGAAATTGTCACACCTGCTTGTGGCGCAGGGGAGGCAACTGGAAATACGGATATGGACAAAAATGGCAAGTAGCTTTAAATAAATTTAGCATTCTTAATTAATCAGCCTGTTTCAAGATCATGCTTGCCAATTCCCTACTCCAGAAACTAAGGAGTGTAAGGAGAAGGGGTACAAGTTTTTAGTGCAACAATTTTTGGAAATCCCAGACTGTATTCAAAGCTAGTACTCATTCTCCCTTTAGTTTCTTGAGTGGGAACTTTTACTAATACACTGGCTTGGGCAGTGGCTGATCTTGTTGACAGGCCAAACAAGTTTTAGCTCAGTCTAGGCTAGTTTCTGACCAGTCAAAAATGACCAAGAATCAAGGCAAAATTTTAAACTCAGCCCCGCTGGCTCGTTTCTGCATGACCAGGCAAAATGTTTAAAAGTGGCAAACTGCTAATTGGCTTTCAAAAAGCTCCAGAACAAGATTGTCTTATCTTCTAATTTGTAACCGCAAGCAGCTACAATTAATATTGTTTAAATTAACCGTTTTTGTAATTATTTACAGAATTTATGTGAATAAGTTTATACACAGTTAGTTTTGGGAGGACCGAAAGGGGCGGCGGAAATCAATCCTATCCAATGTGGGGGTTAAATATTTCCTTGAGATCATTGTTGATCAGGTCTCCTCTCTGCTGTAGGGCCACCAAATAGCAGGGAATGTTTCTCTGCATCTGTTCAGTTCAAATCCTCTTCTGCCACCCATGCTATTGAACACCTTACAGGAGCACTAGAGGTATATGTTGATGAAACTACATATCAGATAGTAGAGGAATTAGGCACAAGGCAGGCGTTTGGATCATTAACCAACCCAGGTTACTCAACTGCTGTCATGGAACAAGGGGTGGGAAGTTCTGATCCTCCTGTAGTACAACAGAACAACACAATGGAAAGGCAAGACTGTACTGTAATGGACATGGATGACTCAAATGAGTTTTTGCAACAAGGTCCTTCCAGTAATAATCTGTTAGTAGTGCATCAGAGCACAGCAGATAGCCAGGCCTTTGCTGCCATCAATACAGAACGGTCAACTGCTGTCATGCATATACAACAAGAATCAGCCATTAATGAGTCAGCTATTGAACATCGAACAGAACAAGTAGAAACAGTAACTTATCAGATCTTGGAGCAAGGCACATTGAGAGCTAGAAACAAACTCATCGACAGCAATGGCTACACTTACAACATCAGAACTCATTCTAAAGCAGCTACATATTGGCAGTGCTCTGTAAGACCTAAAGTAAATCGTTGTAAAGCTTCTGTGGTACAGCGTGGTGATTCATTCTGCCTCGGAAAAAGTGGCCACAATCATGCTCCCAAGACTGTATTAAATGCTCGCACAAGAATTTCAGCAAGGGTGAAACAGCAGGCAGTAAATAATCCACTTAAATCGACAAACGCCATTGTGAACGAGGTATGCTTAGTACCACGTAGTAACACTCAAAGTTCTTGTGAGCATTCAAAATAAAATGAATGAATGAATGAATGAATGAATGAGCCACGACCACCTCAGAAATCTTTTAAGGGGGTCGCAACTACATGTAGAGCTGGCGGTTAAGTTTTTTCTGAAGGTGGATGGTGCTATCCATTGCAATTACTTAGTCTCGCTAACAATTATTAAAGTACTATCAGTCTATCCAGCTTTTGAACCCGTTGTGGGTACTCCAGCGACCTATCACTGGGATAGGCATGTGCTGCCCAGGTTATTAAACCCCGACCCTATTTTAAGGTAAGGAAAACGACTTTTGACATCCTGTTTTATACTCAACCTGAGAAAAGACTCCGAATTCAAGGGAAAAACAAAGGATATAAATTAAATGGCAACACACAAACCTTCGTTCAACAGATGATTTTTTCTCTTGTGGCTGGGTATTTACGCCCTGCCCCTGAATTTTGTCGAAGGATAACACTGGGAACAAAACACCAATAAGGGCAAAAATGATACCGTACTGAAGGTTCAAGACCCTGTAAAACCATACGCTACAGTGTAGGCCATTTGCACGACGGCATAATTTTACTACTAATACGGAACTACTACTGCTGCTACTACTGCTACTATAAAAATGAATGAAAAAGCGAAATGAATTCTGGTCTTAGTTAGTAAAAAGACGTCATCATATGGCCCATTGTTAGGACCACTCAGATCAAAAAGGATAATCTGACTTCCTTTAGGTGAGTCGACTTGAGCTCGAAACGCCCCGACTTTGTTCTGACAATTCGTGTGCACAAGTACCTCGTTTAAATAATAGAAGGAGTTCCGGCGCTTGGTATTCTTATTGGGGTTAGATTTTTGCGATTTTTTGGCTGTATTAAAGAGTAGCCTTTTCTCAAGCCTTAGATGAAACGTTTTGTTTTGCTGGCATCAAATAATAATGTCAGAATCTTTCTCTTAATTATTCAAAAGGTTCTTCTAGAAGAGTTTGGTGGTTCGCCAGCCCCTGATTTTGTAAAGCCAGCGAGTCTTGCAAGGAATGCAAACAGAGCACGTCACTCGTTAGGACCTCGAGATCCTAACAACCACGCGTTTATATTGGATGAGGATCACTTACCAGTGGGGTTCCTGCGGAAAGACATCGTGAAGCAAGGGAGGCGGTATCTTTTATTTGCAACCGAGGAACAAATACGACTCTTGAGTAAAGCAAAGAGTTGGTATATAGATGAAACAAACAAATTTTGCCAAGAGCCATTTAAGAAGCTTTTAACAATCAGCGCCTTTGTAGCTCTTGATTATGATGCCAAACAAGTGCCGCTGGTGTTTGCTTTGATGTCTGGCAGTGAAAGAAAGGACTACCGTAAGGTATAATTGTAGGGAGTTCACTGACATGCCACGACGGCGACGGCAACAAGAGCGTCAAAAAAGCAATAGACTGAATAGGCAAAACAACAACTCTGCATCTGCGGCACGCTTTCTTATACATTTCTGTGTCGACACTACACAACTTCGACATGAAAATGCCTAATTTCACGTTTTATGGTGCAGGAGAATTAACGACAACGAAAATTTCTTTCTCTTTCTGAACTCGGATATTGTTCTTCGAAATTCAGCTCCAAAAGAATTCTCTTGCGTTTTAAAAAGTAAGCGAGTTGGAATAATCGTGATAGAGATTCAAAGAACGCGAGTTCACTGATTTTTAAGCGACGTTTTTGCCGCCGTCGCCGTCTTGGTGTAGGGACAGCACGGCCGAGTGCCTTTTTTTTCAGATTTCAGGTTCTGTTTTAAAGGGGCAATGTCGCTAGAATTATCTCATGATTTCATGTGAACTTATATTTTCTTGTGTACAACTTGCATTGGCTTAGACAGCAAAGCAAAGACATCAACATCATCCAAGATGCACGCATGTTATCGCCCGAGTGGGTTTTCAAGTAGCACAAAACCATTAACGTTAATGACTGTTAAAGAGTTGTCGAGATTTTCTGTCAAAATGCGCGCATGTTATTGAGTTTTCAAGTAGCACGAAACCATTAACAATAATGACTCTTAAAGCGTTGTCGAGATTTCGTCGATTTAAAAACGAATGAATTGATGTTAATTAATTGGGGTGGGGGTGCAGATTTCTAAATCTAGGCCGACAGCTGCATATATTGTCAGCCCACCTTCAGCTGGACTTAGCATAGCTAACAACCGAAGTTTCCTTTATCTATTAAAATACGATTACTAAAATTTGTTAACAGTTTTTGCCGCGCTATTACAAAAATCACAAATTATAGGTTACATTGGAGTCTTCTACGTATTTTATATAAACAAAATAAAACGGAAGTGGTTTGATTTTCAGTCTTTTTATACAGCTAATTCTGCCTTCCTTTTCACTTTTCTAGGTTATAAAGAAAATCCTGGCTTTACTGCCCTGCGCACCATCCGTACGGGAAGTTACTCTGTTCTTTGATGAGGTTTTGTGGGCTGTGTTACGTCGTGCCCTTCCTGATGCAAATATTAGGGGATGTGTTTTATACTGGATGAAGCTTGCGTGGAAAGCAGTAAGTGTGGAATTTAAAACGAATCAAACCTCAAACTCTCTACTGATTGGTTTTTCAGAATCCTTTTTTCTTAGTTCCAAAAGCTTTGGGCTGAGTTTAACCCGCGTTTAACAAAATTACGTTTTATGCCCTTTTAGTGTGCCGAACGCTTTTATGTAAACACCATTTATCGTGAACAATTTCATGAAAGCATATGGCGTGGACTTGAAAAGCATTTGTCTTCTTAAAATAACCCACTGAGGAAGATATCTGGAGGTTCAAAGATTTGCTAAACCGTGGTCTAAGTTAGACTTCGTTTAATAAATAACCGACAGATTTGAAAGCTTTCGGTTTATATAATTCACAGGTTGAAGTGCATGTAGGTTCTTTCTTTGCGGATTTAGAAGCTTTAGGTAATTTTCTTTGCAGATCCAGGAGCTTAAGCTGCAGACTAAGTACCAGAATGACAACGAAACCAACCTCTTTCTTCGCAAAGTAATGGCTTTACCGTTCTTACCAGAAGAAGAGATTCAACCAATGTTTGTTCGGCTGTGGGTGCAAGCGTCTACTGCACCTCTACAGCTTTTCATTCAGTATATTTCAACGGCTTGGATATACAACACAACCTGGCCGCCATCAACTTGGAGCGTGTTCAACTCTGCAGTCCGTACACACAAAGATGCAGATAGATGCCATCCTTCGTCAGGCAAGAATCCGATGCCTTTGTATCTTCTCGTCAACTTTTTATACCAACAAGCAAGTGAGCTTACCCCTCTACAGTTTAAACCGCTTTCAGAAAAGAAACTAAAAAAGATGAGAGTCACACTTAGCAGCCACCCGGCGGCAAAGTTCTTTCATCATTGGGAAGAGTACACTAACAAAATGAAGTCAGCGGCGCAGCTGCTTAAGGCATGCTCGGATGTTACTGGGTTAATTTCATTGAAATAGAACAGTTTGATAAGTACTGTATTTTATCTTTAGGTTTGGTAACTTATTGTTAGATTTAACATTTTCTATGTGGAGAAAATTACTAAGGGATTATCAAAAATGAGCAAAGTGCAAGTGCGTACTTTTTTAAGTGGGAACAAAGGAGATTCGACTTATTTTGCGTTTGTGCGAGTAATAGTTGTCCACTTTTTGCAGCAGCTAGAAACTTAAAGTTGAAAAACACTGGCGCCATTTTTTAAACGTAACCAATGGGTGTCAGTTGAACACTAACTCCGAGTCGGAGTCGACGGCTGTTAGCTCTTCGGTCTTATTTTGGGTTTTGTGCTCTTTGTTTTATTTACTTTTTAACCGAACTATTCGAACTGTTTAACCTTTTAGGAAATGTACAACATTGTTGATGATTTACCCGCCTGAGACAAGCATTTGGCCTCTGATCTTGCTTCGAATGTCAACTGTCCAATCGGTCAATTGCCTACAATTTCTGCAGACTGTCAGAAAACATACTGTCCACTTGAATCAGTGCAAACTAGGGCTGCTTACCGCATTTCCAAATCTCTTGATACTTGATAGTGACAAATTAATATTTTTAACTGAAATACGCCATTCGAACCTCTTTATGATTACCATTTAGAGGTGAGGTATTAAAATAAAACTCTGACTATTTAAAGGGCACTAACCACACTAGTTTGGGGGATATTCTCATTTTGGCCACCCAGCAATTTCGCTATTTTCGATGGTTGCTGTTTTCTTCGATATTTCTTGCAAAGAGCTTTCATGATGTCTGAAGTTTATAAAAACTGGTGAATAAGAGGCTTTAAACCTTTAACATCGAAAAATGATGTTCACAGGGTGCGGTTTTGTTTTTTGGACATTCCAAATCCGGATTATTTCACCAAAAAAGGAACCATTGGGAAGTATATCCTCACCTTTAGCAGCCTGCTGGGATCGCCTCTTATCGGGGAGGCCGATGACAAGGAACGACATGTTGTGTTACTAATCATAGATATGATCGTCGCCGTTGAAATATGTTGCAATATAAGCAATTACAAATTAACCAGGGGAAAAATTTTCTAGACTGTTCAGTCCCGTACAATTCCGTAAGACCGTCTCGCCTCCTCCTAAACCGTGGACCGCCCCCTAAGAAGCAGAGATTGTCATCTTCAAGCTAGACTCGTTCTCGACGCGATCTCACGGTGAAATAAGGGACTGTGAGCTGTCTAAAAATTTTGGGGCTTCAAAGGGATTGGAACCCATTCCCATTCATCCCATTTTAGAACGGTTGAAAAGGATATAATTATGTTCAATAGTTTTCATGAATTAGATCTTATCACGTGCCATGAGTCCACGTGACTTTAAACTTCAAATCGAGAGTGGCTATACGTTAACTTTATGCAATAGCTGCGCTCTCAGTAGAATGTTTGGCTTTATTGTCTTTCAGTAATGCTATTAGTTGCTGATCTGGTATTTCACCGCTTCAAATCTCTTAATTATGTCACTGTTTTTTTTAAATCTCAATGGGGTTTAACGTGAAGATCAGAAAGTCGACTGACAAAGCGAAAATACTGGTGGCAATCCTATAAGTCGCTGTGCCTGTAGAGATCACAGTTTTTTATTTTTGCCCGTCATAAACCGAGTTCAAATTGCTGGTGGTTGTATTTAAGATAATAAAACACTTGCTAGGTCTGATTTGTTCTGTTATGCAAAGAGCCGACTACCCGTACAACACAGCGCCTTGCAAAAACAGTCATCCATAAATCATTAGCCACACCAAAGAATCGCAAATCTTTGAATTAGTTACAGCGTTTGCGGAACAAAAAGGCAACTTACGATTATCTTTGAAAAGTGGTTTCCCGCCTTGACTGAATATATGGTTCAAAACTCGTTCGGTAAAATTCAACTTATCCAAACTGCTGCGGGGAACAAGTCAGTGATGTGGCCAGCTATAACAACCAGAGAACAATAACAATTTGCTATGTATCGTCGATATGTGAACAACTTTATATTCAGTTATCAGAGGAGAAAAGCGACAAAGTTTTGGAGGCACGAAGGTTTCTGGCGTTGTCCATTTTCCTGCTAAGGAGGACCACTTCCTTTAACAAAGCGGACTTAGATTTTGAGTTAATTAACGTATAGTTATTTGTGTTGGAGAATGCTATGAGATCCACCTTGGCTTTTCTGGTGGTTTTGACTTTCTATTCCGGAGGTGCACAGGCCGGTAAGTCTTATATATAGATCCTAAAACGCCTCTCAGATTGTTTCTTTTTCCTCGAAGATAACAAAAGATTTTAAAAACTTCTATTTAAGGATTGTTTTGATAACGAATAAATAATTTTGTGAACTGGTAGGTAACGAATTAAACTAAAACATTTGAAAATAACGGGAAAAAATATATTTAGTTTCTGACATTCTGAAGTACCATCTAGGTCTAGTGTTGCCAATCTTAGATTTTGATTGATCTTCTATTTTGACTGCCCGGTGATCAGTTGACTAAACTGATGTACTTGGAAACCGAGTGTCTTTAAAAGTCGCCGATCGCAAGCGGGTCATTTAGATAGAACTGTTCTATGGTTTCAGATAACTAAGCCACAACGCTGGCCTATTAGGAACGACCGAAACTTGTCACATAATTATGTTTGGATTGCTGCCAGAGTTTTTTGTTAACCTTTTATGATCGGCGGTCCAGCAGCATTTGTTTGCTTTTGTAATTAATGGATTTACTGTGGTTTTTCTGAATCAGTACCTCAGCGTGAAACACTCTCAAACAAATTTAAAGAACAATTTAAAAATTATCACCTCAAATAAAGACATTGTGAAAGAAAGACAGGAAGACTTTCTACGGTTAACAGAATATATAAATCAAATTTGCTTTATTTTGCCTTAATTTCTTAGACTGTAAACAAATCACGCTTTCTTGTATGCAGCTACATTTTGAAAGACGCCATAAAAGTGATATTTCGATCGTCATGGTTTCGGCTCTCCAGTGAAGAGAATTCCAAATGAAAAAAAAAAAAAAAAACGACGCCGATAAAGTCCAAAAGCTCTCAAGTGATTTGTCGCTCGTTTATTCATTCCATATTGGATTATGGTTCCACTTTACTTTTCTTTTTTTTTCAAGACGGGAAGAAGCAGTTACTGCCAGGTTTGCAGACTGCCCATTTTCCATTGAGCGTTCAACTGCGATATGTTTTTTGTTCCTGTCATGGCGGTTTTCAGCAACCCAGACATTTCAGAAATGTCAATTTTCTGTTGCTCCTTCTACAGCAACAAGAGCCCATAACATTGGAGTGTCCATCGGTTTCCAGTAATTGTCACTGCACCTTACACTTAAATTTTATTTAATTTATATTTTCTCCACGAATTCGCATTGTTTACAATGGTCCGCCAAATTCGTTGGAAGCTCGTTGATCCTTACTTCCGACGTTCCCAGTGTAACCCTTTTCACCTATTTCATTCGCTACTGTTGGAACGAAAGACTAATCTAAAAAACCTGGCGTAAAAATTTAAAACCTGTGACACATGCGTTATGAGGCTATTGGGGGCCGATCATATGACACCTGGCCCGGTTCAAAATCTAGCACCGGCTTAGCATTTGGGAAACCAATTGCATTATCCACTTTCGGACTTTCCAGATTTTAAGGCTATTTACAAATTCATTTTTCAAGCCGGTTCTCCTGACTGCTCTGAACCAATCACAGCAGACTACAATTTCCAGCACTGATGGAAAAGATCTGCGAAGTGTCAGGCAAAGGTTGAAAATAGTCCTCACAGGTGAATATAAAACCTAAGCAGTTGAAAAAGAACCTGAAAAAATTCAGGCGTGACGAGTAATATATTAAACCCTGACTTTTGCGATGACCCGACGCAACTCTCTATCCATTAAGCTAATCAAGCTAACTGGAGAGCGGGCCATTGTGTGAGTTGGTAATATTCCCGATGGTGGAAATGACATGAATGGAAATATATGAAATGAATGTCATTTCATACGTTTCCATTCAAAGGTTGAAGGTTGAAGGGTTAATGTTGAAGAACAATTGAAGTAAGGAAAGAAACATCTTTCTCCACTATCAGCACAGAGTGGGTTATGCGAACGCTCGCGAATGGAGCGAATTTTTCTCTAAAAGAAATCTAAAAATAGAAACGCACTCTGGCACTGTAGTGGTAAGTAGTCGACGGACGCTCCTAATAATGGACTCCTAACGGAAACAAGTAGCCCAAAACGTTTCTGAAAGTAGGCTGGTGTACGGACACTCCAAGATACATACTTAGTATTAGAAAGAGACGCTAGGCTCCGTATTATTGATCCCTGTTAATTAACAATTATTCCACGAATGCACGTTGGATATGAGTTGGCTATAATCATCTCATATCCAACAAGCGCGAGTGGAATAATTGATTTATTAAAAACGCCCTCAAAATATCGAGAACTCTTCCTGACTTTATTTGTAAAAACAACCGATTTTCAGCTTGTTTTGAATTTGAGCAGACGCGTATAGTTACCATATTTGGAGAGCTTGGTATAATGGCTCATATACGGCTAAGCCAATCAGAGCTCTAGAATTGCACTATCCAAAGCTTCAGTTCTTAGTAATGTTGTATAATCGATATGATACGACTTTTATTATCATTCCCTCTCAGAGTGCCTGGAACCCGCTGCCAGAGTAGTCAGTCGCTGGAAGAATGGGAACTACTATAAAGGCGAAATTGATTCAATAACCAACAGAGTAAACGTGTTATTTGATAATGGTGTAAGGATGGCTTATAATCCACGGGATAACATAGATGTAGTGGTGGACAGAATTCCAGAACATAACGAATTGCCATGGGGAAGCCAGGTTCTTGTCAATCGACCCAGATCACGCGCGTTTGAAATTGGGTACATACGAGATATCAAGAATGGTCGATTTGTGATTTTGTACGAGAATGGAGACGAAATACTGCACACCTTAGATCAGATAAGATCATTCAATAAGTCAAGAATATGTGGTAAGTCATCAAAAATTTGTATATCTTTAAAAAAAAACTTTGAAACATAACTGTACATTCAGAATGATGCAAGCCGAAATGGCTTATGAGAGCACGTTTTTTATGCATCTTTGAACTGACCAATTACAGAAAAAGTTCGATTTAATGTACCTCACGGACGTATTATGAGTACAGTCGAACTCTCTTTGGTACTCCGTCTTGAAAGACGCATAATAGACTAGTTTGACCAAAAGCACATGTCTAGTGTCTGTCTTCAAACTGGACGAATTACGAGACATAATCCAAATAGAAAAGGCCAGTTGAAAGTTACATTCAGGTCAAAGGTGCAACACCGCCACAGTAACGAATAGAAGGAAACCAAGTCATATCAGTAGTACGTTTACAAGAAAGAATAATGCCCAGTCTAGCCCTCGGGATGTGTGAATGTCGCCATTTTTGAGAATTTTCAATTTAACGCTTGAAATTAATCTGAAGTTTGTTTTTGGAGAGATCCTTAAACTTTTATTCGGTGTTCTCAACGGAGAATTCAACAGTCATCATCACATGCTTGTTTGCTTTGAGGCAGTCGCGCGTGGACAATCGATTAAAAATGTATTAACGACCAATTTATTTACAACCTCTAAAAATAACTTAAGTGAAATTCACAAATACAGACCAACTCCCTAAGATTCACTCTCTGTTCCATTATTCACTCCTGGTTACTGTTTACTGTTCCAGATGAGCCCGCATACCTGGGCTGTTTCCGCGACATCTTGCCCAGACATCTTCAGGTGTATATCCCCACTCGCCCAGCTACCATCGGAGCATGCGTGGACACTTGCAAGTCACAGGGCTTTAGTATAGCAGCTTTACGTAACTCGGACCTGTGCTTTTGTGGCAATTCATACAGCAAATCTTATCAAGCTACGGAGAAAGAGTGCGATATGCCTTGCTATGATAATTCGTATGAGGTTTGCGGTGGTTTTATGACGTTTTCGCAGTACTGGACAGGTAAGATTTATCACGACACTGTAAAGCTAAGGCACGGAGGTACTTTCTAACGGCCTATATATGGGGCGGATTAACAAACTACAATTAAAGACTACAATAGAAAGTCATAAAAGCCTTTGTATTCCAAATTTATAGAAAAAAATAGCAAAAGATAAAATATAAAACAATTTAAGGTACAAAAATCACTAAAGTCACGTTATAATCAGTCGCATCAATTTCTAAGTGAAAGAAGTTTTTATTTCCTTCGTCAAGAGGAGGTATGACCTTCAGATTGTTCTTTAGATTTATGCCTTCATTCAAGTGAAGTAAGAGGAATGGAGAAAAAAAGCTTTTACAGGAAAGAAAAAGACAAATATGTGTAGTTAATTAAAAATACTCGAGCGTTAATCGTACTGAATCAATCACCGAGGTAATACAGCGGAACCCCGCTCTACGGACACCCGAATATAATGGACAGTTTATAACGCTCATATTTTTTCTGAAAAAAAAAAGAGGACACCGGTTAATGGGGACAACGGACACTTTTCTGTGTCCCGAGTCACAAACTTTCATATATCGTCAACCCCGCTTTACTGATGGTTCTTTTCTGCGCACTGTCCTTAACTGAGTGTCTTACCAATGAAGAGACTATAATACGACTCATGATCGAAAGATTTCTTTAGGATGAACTTGTTGCAGTTACAGTTAAGAAATTATACAACGTTTTCTCGTTAAAAAGTCTGCTTTAGTCTTTGTATCGATAAAAAATGTATCAGTGACATTTTTTCTGATCATGCCCCCTTGGTGCCCGTATTAACCGGCTTCCACTTGTTCCACTGTACTTCTTAAATTCACCATGTGTTATAAGTCATCAATTCAACGTGGTCCAGTTAGACAATAAACTCCTAGAATTTTTCACAGCCATAAGCTTGAATATTGATATACCTTATCGAACTTTCAGGTATTGTGGATTCAGCTTTCGGTGAAGTTCCTCCTAAACCAGGTAGGACGGTGATATACATTTGGGAATAAAGTTTATCACACATATTTCACTCAATGGTTCTTATTCTTGGTTCTTCTTTTGTTCAACAGGAATGCAGAAGCATTTCATCCCTTCAAACCATCCAATACCGTGGGAACTGCTAACGCACGGTAGTGACATTTGTTTACTTCACTATTACTTACGAATTCACCTCTTTAGGAACAAGAAGGGGACTGGAGTCGTAATACGTCCCGCAATTGTTTCTGGGATAGTTACCGCACCGGTCAGCTATTGGTCAATTTTTTCCTGTCCCTTTCAACAGTCCAAGAAGTCTTCGCGAAAGCTAACTTGGCCCAGTTTTCTTCCTGTTTCTAAAGTGACGAGTAACCGTAGCTTGTTAGATTCTATGAACTTCATGACTCGGTTTAATAAAGACTTGTCTAGCTACGAACTGAGACGAATGCCAAGTCATGCGTTATACCATAGAGTACCATGCTCACTTTTCATAGATAATTCAAGTATTGAATCTGGTCTCTGATTTTTTTTTTTACAGCTCGATCCAAACACCCTTCAAGATACATGCCGGTATCAGTACGCAACCGCGGTCGATACGAAGGTTATCAGTCGAAAGGTAGTAGGAATGATAGAAGTTGTATACCCTTAATTACACGAGTATATTCAGTGCAAGTCTTGCATTTATATATCTTGTAGTATGACAGAAAAAAAAACTAACTCAAGTTAAATTGTTTCTACAGGGAATAACGCTGCACCATTTCGAAAACAACAGACAGCTCAATTTCCAAGTTATCAATCTCAGGGTAGGTTGCCTACAACCCAGTTAACACAAAAGCGGTGCCCAATGTAATTATATTTACACGATATAAATTAGGGATGCGGTGCCCAAAATTTCAGGCACCGGTGTCCATTTTTAGGAATGCTGAGCCCAAAACGCTTGTCGGATTCACATCTTTAATTAAGTGGGGATCTCTCTAATCCAGATCCTACTAAGATCAGAGAACAGGACGTGGCCTCAAAAATAACTTTCGTTTGTCATGTGGGCCTCCGTTTGGCGTAAAAATAAGATAGGGGCCTGGGCTCGCCGGGCTCCTCCCCTGAATCCACCACTGCAGTCAGCTTTTCAATCAGTTATTCGCAAAGTAAGGAAAAAAGATCTTGTGTTGGAATTGCTATCTTTAACTGATTCTACTGGAAATGTACGTTAACATTATGTCCCCTCAATTTGTAATGTCCAGAAAGCAAAATCTACTCTCGCCTTGATTGTTGCTTATACATATATTTCAGGTAAACCTTTCAGTTCACCTAGCATATACCAGAGGTATCAACAATTTTATGGAGCAAAGCCATGTAAGTACGAATTAATTTTGTGTCCCATTTCTGTTTTTATCACTTACAAGCGCTCGATGATTGGAGAAGAAAATACCTTATGCAAGACTCGGCCAGTTCTGGATGAGGGGCTTTCCCGGCCAAGAACCTCCACTTCTTTTAACGAGCCTGGCTTTCATTTTTCATATAACTGTTACCTGCTTTTTAGATAGCTGATAGAATGATCTTCCATTATAATATCCAAAAGTTTCAGATGTTTTCCAACAAAGAGACGTTTAGGGTGCATAACCCTTCTTCAGTGTTAAGAAAACCCTGCCTCTTACTTGTGTTTCCTTCATCTTTAAGGTTACTAAAGAAATTCACTTTTTGCAGCGGTTCCGTTAAGACCTTTTTGTCCGTTGTTACAGTGTTGTGCTAAGCCACTGATCGTAACGATCCACCTACGCTAGCGCTGAGTTCAGTGCATTGCGACAAGTGTAAAAAACTCCGGAGGGTGACACTAGTTCTATACAAAGATTTGCATTGTGAATTGCTTTTTACCCGAACAGATGCGGTTGATTTGATTTTCACTCTGCAAGAAGCGATTCAGTCTGTATTTTGAAATAAGTTTCTTTGCTGGGAGCATGGAGCCACCGATGACTAAAGAGTCACTTTGTCTCCCATAAGATCTCCACATCTCTATCGTCACCTTTTAATAGCATCTTCTCCACAATTTTTATAACTTTTACTTTTGTGCATTTTAATCTCTCATAAAAAAAATCCAAGATGTCTTTTTACCTTATTTAAGTAACTCTGGAGAAGAAATCCACTCTCGTCTCCTTTGCTGTGTCAGTATTACCGTAAAATTCCGAAAATAAGCCCCTCCGTTAAATCGCCCCTCCAAATATAAGCCCCCTGGGGGCTTGAACTTGGAAAATTGCGCTCAAATACAACCTAACAGAGTAAAACAAAGTAAAAACGGAAAATTTACTTCTAACTATAAGGCTAGCCCAATCGATTTTGAAACGCAAATTTCCCTCCGTAGATAAGCCCCTCTAAAAATAAGCGCCTCAAAAAGGGCTTTTGAAAAATATAAGCCCTAGCCAGGGTTTATTTTCGGAATTTTGCGGTATATTAAAGTTTCATAATTCACGCAGATTCAGTCAACTACAATGGTCGACAGCAACAACCGATCTCAGGATATAATCATCGATTTGCAGGTTAGTGGCGCATGTCAGGGGTAAATTCTCTTAGGCTCTGTTTATAAAAAAGCGAACTTTAATAAAATAATTATTATATTCTTCCTTATTGGATAAGCGATTGCTTATAAACAATTATTGGATGAGGTTTTTTTTTATGATATCTGCAATAATCAAGGTCGAGGTAAGTGTTATCAGCCGATGCGAGCCGAAGGCTGAGGCTGATAACACTTACCGAGACCTTGATTATTCGGATATCACAAAAACCGAATCTAATAATTGTTTTATTACACATTGTTTTGAAATGAATAACGACAAACACACCGTTGCATGGAACCGATTTGAATTGCCCTCGGAAATCATGCATTGCGCGTGCATTTTACAGATTAGTAGGTTGCGCTTATTTCCAAAATTAAGTGTAGGCTCCTAGCCAATGAGAAGATAGATAGCGAGTACAATGTATAATAATAGAAGTTATAGCCAACTCGGCGCATTTACCACCTCGTATTCAAACGCGCGCTAGTTGAATAGCTGTTAATTATATATCATATTTAAAAGTTTCAAAGTTCTTTACATTCATTGGATGATTTTGACGATAAATTTACAAAACCTTTAATCACTTATTGCCAATGACCTTCGTCGTCGTCTCAAAATATTCGCCTAATACCTGTGCTTTTCCTTTAGCGTCTAATCCCAGGGCTGCTGCGTCATATGGCAGCGCATATCAGAGGCAAGATTACCGCTGGCCTTATAATTACAACTACAACATCTACCACAATAAAAATTATAACTATCAAAATGGCGTCACTAACAGGCTCTATAATGGTGAGGAATAACTTCAATATCTTTTCATATAAGCTTATTTTTTTCCTGTATCTGGTTATGAACAAAGCTAGAGATGATATTAATAATAATGATAATAATAATAATAATAAAATTTGGGAATCAAATATTCTGCGTACTGTTTTAAGTAAAATTTCTCTTTATTTGTGAACATATTACTCCTATTGTTGTGCAAAGAAGTAAGAAGACATAGTGTAATAGAGAAAACTTGGACAGGAATTTGCTCATTACGTCTTGTCTGTTAATGCATCCATTTTGTAATTATTGGCTGAATTTTCCTTACAAGGCTACCCACCTAGTTATCAAAGGAGACCCGCACCAAGGCCGTCACCTCAAGAGAAAGCTAAACTGATGCGTGAGTAGACTTTCGGTATCAAAATTAGATATTGCGTTGAGTGTTAAGTTGCGTACAGACAGACAAGCCTAGTCAAACCCAGCCGCCCGAGTAACTTACCATCTTAGGAAGCTTTATTTAATTTTAGGCTCTAGAGATGTCGTGTTAAATGTATAGAAGATGATCGCAGTTATAGACGGATGTTGCTTAAAAGGAAGAGCACGGAGAACGGCTCGGAAAAATGAAAAATGAGACAAAACCTGACTGAAGCGCTAGGCCTATCCGTACCTTAATTACACATTCTCTGTTTTGTTCCCTTTTTTCATTTTCCAGGCTACAGAGAATACAAGGAAAAACAAAAAGGCGAATAATATAAAACAAAGAAATCACCACACCCCCGCAAAACTGGTATCCCATTACACCCTAGCCCCTACCCCTTTCCTACAATGGCCGCTACTCTCTTGTACAGAGGTTCTGTTGTAAAAGAAGCTCATACATGTAGAAAATAATATAGCGGAGCGCTAGGCGTGTCTTCTATTTTCTTAGCCTTATATCACTCAGATATAGATATAAAATATTGAAAACGCCTGAATGAGATAGAAAATAAAGCTTAACATATTGAAAACGATAAGGGACGATTGTGATGAATGTTTGTGAAAGAAATGCATGTTTTCTTTCTGTCAAGGTATGTTGAAGCAACTTTTCCAACACGTCATTGGAAGACCCTCTGTAGGTACGCGATACGAATGTCAAGAATAGCAAATGATGCAAAATTACTTATGAAAATAAATTATTCTAAAGTAAATTCGATTAAAATGCTGTAGAGCATGAGAAAAAAAAAGTACTTTGTTCTGTTCTGATACAGTTTCAAGGCCTCCAAGATTTATGGGATGCTTTCAAGACTCCGAAGGACGTGATCTTCCGACGGAAGTTGCAGTGACGCCGCTGACCGTTGGAGCTTGTGTCACAAAGTGCGGCCAGTCTGGCTTCTCAATGGCTGGTCTCCAGTCCTCCACCCAATGCTTCTGCGGTATGACGTACAGTCGATATGGGAGGCTCAGAGATGAACAGTGTTCAATGCGATGTGCAGGAGATTACAACGAAATTTGCGGTGGATTTTTGATGAATTCAATATACTATACCGGTAAGAAAGAGGGCTTAATTTGTCACTGATAATTATCTTAGGGACAGGTCAAAAAGTAAATTCTCCAAACGAGACGTTTAGCAGTTTATGTCAACAATCCCTTTCAACCAATATATCTAGCACTCCTCTACATAAGCTTTACACGTCTGTGCGGCGCCTTTTTTCAATAAAAAAATATTGCACGGATTTAAACTAACGTGGAACGAAATAGGGTAAAGCAAGTCGGACAATTGGAAACCTTATTAAATGTCGACAGAAAAACGGTCAGGTACAGAAAGGAAGTCGTTGCACTAACGGTCTGGTATGAAATACGCCGGGCGTCAAATTTTGGGTCTGGCCTGAAATAGGGATGAGAGAATCTCATTTTGGTCTGAAACAGGCAAAGGGACAAAAAGGAGTGACCACGCAGGATAAAAAATTTAAAAGGTCGGTGATATCCAGGTAGAGGAGATGTAGGTTTTTAAAACCGACATTGAGGTATATCTGGTTGTCGCGGGATAAAGGATGAAATAACTTCACCAAGATCACTTTTCCAAATCTCCTTCGCGGTAATGTTTCCCGTTGTTTTACCAGCATGGATTAGTAGTTATTTTTGAATAAAATACCATAATGGGTGGTCGATAATTCCCTTGGATTTTATCTAGAAAGGCTTTATGAGATGGGTCAGCTAAATGTATCAATCCCCATTAGTTAAGAGCGGGAACGACACAAAAATATGACGGTGTAAGGATATTTTTGTTAATTACTATTTCCTAAAGCTTTTAAATTCTCCAATATGAAGTTCGAATGAATTACTTGTAGATATTCAAAAGTTAATTCGACCTCATATACGTGCATGAAGTGGCGACTTTTTTGGTCAAAGCACATCTACTTTCTTATTCATTTTTACAGGTGTCGGCCAAGCCATCCCATTCGGAACAAAATATGGTAAGTCTTGGAACACTTGAGTTTTGAGCACGAGTCTTAAGAAGGATTTACATCAAGACAATCCCACTGAAACTCCCACACAGAGGCAAAAAATAACGTTTAATTTGAAGGGTTCTCGAAGTGGAATGTAGGATCAGTTTGTAGCTCTTTTTCCTGCCCGCATTCAGTTATACCAAACCAATGCAGACAAAACCTAAATTGCATTCTTACCCCGGCCGGGACGCTTGGAAGAAAATTGTCCAAACACAACGTTTTCTGATAACAAAAGACTCATTCTTTTAGGCAAACGGGCTAATAAATTTCAGAAATTTGAGGGTTGTTTTCTGAGAGGTCAAGTAAGTTTAAACGGGTTTTAAAATTTTCAACGGTCGCAAATTTCAGTTCTGAAATACATACATGAATAAAAACTGAAAAAATCCTTTTACCTCATGAATGCTTGTTCCAATTTTTCTCTATGGCGGGTAGATTATACCTCTGAAGGAAAACGTTTTGTCTGAGTGAATGTGATTTTTGCCGCTTATTTCATACTGAGAGGTCATGACACGCATTTTCGGCAGTTATTGTTGTTTCTGGTCGGCATGTTTTCCTTTGACCTCTTTTCAAATGCAAAAAAAAATAAGGGTTTAGGTTGTTTAATTTTCTTTAAAGAGAATCGTTTGTTTTCCGTGAACGGTTGACTACGACGTTTTGTCACTCGATAACTACCGCTTGCCTCGATTGGAAAGACACAACAGATGGATATACAAACTATTCGCAACATGTTCATGAGCTGTAAGCTTCTTTTTGACGTGTGTTTATTTCAAATCATGTCTTGTTTCGTCCCCCATGTGAATGTCCTGTTTATCACAAAACTAAATATTCTGAAAAATAATTGGACACTTCTAAAAGATCAGTAAAGTCAATACCAGTTCCAAATCTAAAAAAAAGTTTTTTCTGCGTAACCAAATTTTCAAAAACAGTTCTTTAAAAGAAAATTGAACTGAAATGAAAAGAAAAATTGACATGAGACGAAGCGTCCTCCTTCCCTTTTGTTTACTGCATGGTTATCCTGTAAATCCCATAAAATTTCCATTCCTCAACTAAACATCTGCTCCGAGGATTTTGGGGATCATTTGCGGTCTCGGGATCATTTGCGGTTGGGGATCATTTGCGGTATTGTACAGTTGTGTACGTTTGCAAAAAAAACTTAAGTCTGAAAACGTTGTTATTGGACAATCTTCTTCCAAGTGTCCCGGTTTGAATGCCCGCACTGTAATACCAGTTCCAAATCTACAAAAACCAATACAGAGAAGAACTTAGTAAAGTCCACCTGAAGAAAAGCTAAGAAACTCTTATGTTACTGGTTATCCTGTAAATTGGTTTCTGAACATCTGCTCCGAGGAGTAGTTCTACCCATTTTTGTTTACTCCAAACTTTTGTGTCTCCATACAGGTGCAAGGGCACAAAAGATCACCTTTGTTAAAAATAATCCGCCAAGCATTTACACAAATCAAAAGCATCTTAACAAAACAAACCCTTCCCGTTTTAACAAGCCGTTTACGTTGGACAAGTCATATAACAAAAAGGCTACAGAGACAAAAAGAAAAGACAAGAAAGCAAATAATGATACAGCAAGGAAAACACCACATCCTAAGCAAAAAGACAATAATAAAAGTAGACCTATGACAATGCAAGATTATGGTAAGCTTAGAAAGATACTGCAGACCATTTCAAAATGGCAGCAACAGCCGCATGGTTTACGCCACAGCAGTAATGAAGTTAAGCACACACCATCTCCAAGCTATAAAGAGCTGAGAAAGATACTCGAAGACATGACTCCACAAATTGTCAAGAAAATCGCAAATAAAATTATTGCTGAAGATATGAACAGAACAAGGTTGAGCGACATGAAACCACTGAAAGCAGTTCACAGCTTGGACGTAAATCTGGCTGCGACGAAGACCAAAACCGACAGAGAAACGGGTTTTAAACGAGAAAAAGTGAATAGTTCAAGGTACAAAAACTGGAGTAAAAAGATAAACAAAACTGCGACAAAAACCAGGAATAAACATGGAAATGTTATTTTACAAGCGGACGTTAAAACTATCAACTCCAGTGGAAGCAGTGAAACTAAAGGATCGTCAAAGCACAAGGTTGCTCCTGGTATGAAACACAAAGGTGGAAACAAAACTCTCAAACTGCCATCCCTTACTCTAACAGCCAACAAAGAAAGAAAGCACGGATTGAACAACGAGAAAGTGATAACACTCCTTGGTCACAACGAACAAAATAAGAGTAAACAAGGAGAATCGTCGCTCAAAAACATCGCAATGTCAGACGTTCAATCAAGTAAGAGAAACTTCGTACATTTCGTAATCACTGACGAAAATGGTAAGAAGGATGTCATACCGAAGACCAAAAACGAATCGTCACAAAACAACTCACTTGTAAATGAAACGGTGATTGCTGGAGAAGGTAATTTGTCACTTTTCCAAGAGCAGGAATCATCGTCTAGCGTTACCAATGTAACCACGGGGAATGACACAGGTCAAGCCCGTAACAAAATTAATTTCAAACCGTTGAAGTCCTCCGCCAAATCTTCAGAGCCTTCAAATTATATTGATGAGGTATTCGAAACACACAGCACACCTTCCAGTGACACGTTTGATAACAAGTATAAAACTAATTCTAAGAAACATAGTTTAAAAAGTCCTAAAAAGGCCACAACAAAGTCAATAAACCTTACACACAGGCGAACACCACATAACAAAATTTTACACGTGGAAGCCAAGTGGAATGGACAAATTAATGTGAAAGCAAACTGGAAAGACATTGATGAGACAGAGCCCGAGTCAAAAGGAAAGGAAAGTCCTTTTACGAAGAAAACTAAAGAAAAACTGAAGAAAGACGCAAATAGTGGTGAGGAGGAAGGAAATGACGAATACAAATTTGACGATATTGGTTCTAGAAACGAACTGATTTGGAGAAATAACCGGTCACTAAAAGAAAGACGAAAAAGAATATTACACCTTTGACTGGGCAATTCAGCAGACAGCAAGCGATCATGAAGCCCTGATTGCTTTGACGTAATCTGGCAAAAGTGATTAATGCGCACCTTTTTGGGAAATCTTTCAACAAATCATAATCTTAAAAGTTTTCTTGGGAATACCATCGCTGAATTTAAAACAGCTTTAAAGCAAGATGTTTCCATTTCAGCACGTTCTGACGTAAATTCTGATAAAATGGCGCAGAAAACCAGAATTCCAAAATGTCTCTGGCTGACCACAAATAAGAACGTGAAGCAACGCGTCCTTGGTATGACCTCAATGGCTCAAAACGTCCGGAACATCCAATTAAGAGAAACGTGGTCTCTAAAGCATAATCATATTTTCCACCAGGTGCCCTAGTCAAAAACAAGTTCTGATTTCTTTATGACGGCATCGGATATTATTTGATTGGGAGATGGGTAAACAAAGGGAAAGATTCATACAAAGGATTTTTGGTTAAACTTTATTACTGCAGAAGATAGGACTGTTGACAGAGTTTTTTCTGTGATGATGCGTCAGTGACCTCTATCGAAATGTCCAGAGAACGTGGATCCTTACTATTCTTGGTACATGCCAGAAATCCCTCGAGGATTTGCCCTGCGTAAGATATATGAGGACATGTTCATATTTAACCCGGCTACCAAAGAATTTCAGAAAGAACAAAAGCATGATTGATCACTGAGTTCCTCTAGGGCATTTATGGGAACAAGTTAACTTTCGAAAAGAGTTCTGTAACTGTTATTGGGGATAAGGAAAAAAATGCCAATAGGGACTTAAAGATGCCACGACGGCGACGACAGCGGAAACGTCAAAAAAGCAATAGGTTGAATAGACAAAACAACACCTCTGCACGTGCATTGCACACTTTTTTGTACATTTCTTTGCCGTCAATGCACGACTACGACGGGAAAATGGCTAATTTCACGTTTTATGGAGGAAGTAAACAAGCGACGGGTAAATTTTCTTTCTCTTTCTGAACTCGAATAAAAAGAGTTCGCTTGCATTTGACAATGTAAATGAGTCGGAGTAATCGCGATAGAGATTGAAACAACACAAATTCACTGTTTAAGCGACGCTTTCGTGGCCGTCGTCGTCGTTGTATCTTAAACTCCCTAACACCTGACCGGCGCGTCACCAGTAACGATCCCAGAAACAATTGCGGGATGCAATTCGCCTCCAGTTCCCTTCTCGTTTCAAAAGTTGCGAATGCATGGGATGCTTTTAGGCACATGTAGGCGGATCAACTGCGGAATACATAATTTTTCCCGTTGCCCGCTTTTCGCCCTTTCCCTATTGCGGAGCCTGGTCACAGGCTATCATCTTTGGGAAATAGATGGTGCTAAAACGGGAAGTGAGATCGGGGGACGAGAAAGGGAAACGGGAAAATGAAAAGTGGCAAAAGAACCTAACTTGAACCATATTAGTAACTTTTGTTTTGCTTCCATTTTACAATTTCCTGTTCTCCGCGCCCGTTACAAAAAAATACTTGCCAAGTATTACACGCAAACAAGTTTGGCACCTGAAAATTTTCTTCTTTCAAAACGCGACACGCTAGATTTTCAAATATTCCACGGACATTTGTCGTCTACACAAGCACAAAAACGTATTAGTAACACTGTGCTTTTGGAGGGCCTTATAGATGCAGCTCACAGAAGTGGCGAACAAGCAATGTCAAAAATGTTCGGCATGACATCGGCACTAAATAGATTCGTTAGAAAAGGATAGAATTTATGTACAAATATATATTGCAGTTTATAGATTGATATTTTTATTTAAGGAAAACGTTTTTGGTTGTTTCCGTCGAAGTGTTATGACCGTTAATAAAGTTGAACAAAATATTAAAACTTTAACAACAGCTTACCTCACTAAAAATAAAATTTTCACAACACAATGAAATAAGCAGAAGTTTCTATTACTTATCGACGTATTTTGTAGTACAATTGCTACATACTTATTTATTGACATATTCAGCTGATAAATACGTAAAGTTTTACCTTATTGTTACTAATATAAATTTCGTGGGACTCTAATACAACGATTCCCGCGCCCTCGAAAATTTGGCCAAATAAAAGACCCGCGAAAACAGCACTCTCGAAAATTAAAGGGTGCGGGGAAATTAAAACTCTGCTTGTCTGTCGTCCAAGGAGGCATTTGAAGAGCACTATGTATTCGATTATCGCGCGACACATGGTCATTCACTCTTTTGACCTTTGTAGTACAAGTCGGCTATGTTCACAGTCCACCGCACAGATTTTGCGCCGGCACGAAAACCATACCGGAAACGGGCCTCTGTTCACACATAAGAACGGTGATTTCGGCGCGATTTCCGTAACGGAGCGAAGCTGAGAGTCACATATCGAATAGGTGTTCATACTATACAGGATAGCGTTTCGTGTCGGCCCGAAAATCTATTCGGTATCGTGTGAAAATAGTCTAAGGCCTGGGTTAAACGTGGAACTTTCATGAGACGAACCAAGCTCTAATTTGGGTCGATCTAAATTAAGTTGAGATCGTCTGTTGGGTTAAATGTCGACATTAGGACGCGTCGAACCAACCAACTGAATCAGACCAAAAAGCAATCTTAGCTGGCCATATATAAATTTTCTCCCGAGCGAAGCTAAATAAACATCAAAAAAATTTTAATTTCTTAGTTTATTTCGTTGCGCGTGAAGATCGACGTTTGTTCCGGAGACGATCTTCAGACGTTCTATCCATCTGAAGCAGACGGATAGAACGTGTTGGACGATCCAAACTCATTCAGACGAACTTATTAAATTAAATTGAGGCAGATGTCGATTTTTTCATGAACTTAAGTCACTACGTGTGATTCGTCTCATGGAAACTTCGACGTTTGGCCTAGGCCTAAGACTACATTTCTTCGCATGTCAGCAAAATGCCGACACGATTTAGGGTGGAGTATTCTGTTCCAAATTGCGCAAACGTAAATTTAACCTGTAGCCTTATTCTAAGGCAAATTGTTTGCCCGATTAGGAAAAATCCCGCGAAATTTAAATGTTTCCTTGTATTTTGTGCCCACGAAATAAAGTGACAACAAAATAGAGTAAAAAAAAATATAACTTAATTAAAACAAATAGAATGTACGTGATATAGACAAAATGAAGTCCGAGTGAGAGAGATTTTATAGCAGAGTAGTCGCCAGCCTGCATCACAGACGGAAGTTAACTTCTGGTTAAGTCCGTCTGCGAAACAGCGCTGAAATCCTTGGTTTGGGCCCCCACCTGTGTATCAGGATTTGAGTAGGGGCCATGATTGGCCTGATAGCTAATTTGCCAATAAGGCTGAAGGGAAATTTGAAACGCATTTCCGGTACTTAATTGGGTCCAATCAAGATGAAGAGTAATTTGAAACGCATTTCCGGTACTTCATTGGGTCCAATCAAGATGAAGAGGAATTTGAAACGTAACCGGTAATTCGTTGAATCCATTGGGGGCCCCAGAACAAAGATATCGGCGCTGCTTCGCAAACGTCACTAACCGTGGTTCAATTACGTCTGCGATGCAGGCCAAGTAGTCATTAACCGTTTAGAAACTGTTAAGTTGTTGGTACTAATAAAATACAAAAATACACTTATACTTACCTTGAATGACGTTGATTGGGTGTTCAAGATAAAACACAGTTTGTTTCCAATGTGTAGGCGGGTGAGACGGACTGGTACTAAAATTCACCTAATTAATGTAAACACACATTTGTTTTCAAAAAGTCTGGTTTCCAAATGAACTAAAACGCGATCGGCCACCGGTCTGAGCCAGAGACATAAGCTTGTAGCAATTTTCGCGCCAATTAGCCCTTTCCAGAACTTGGTACGATGCTTGCACACGACTTATAGTAATGGCAACCGTTCATTCAGACCACAAAGTTTTGAGTGCGCTCCAGCGAAACCTTCGTAGGTTAATTCAAACGTCTTTTAAGTCTTCTAGTCCGATCATTTTGGTTAATTTGCAACAGAATAATTAATCTAGGAATGTTTCGCTCGATCGTACTCAAAACTTTGTGATCGGAATCCATCCAGCGAGTCATTGCTAAGTGGTATCCAAGCTGCATTAATAGCGAGCTTCAGCATCGACGACAGCGACAGCAGCGAGGACGTCACTTTTAAAATGAATTTGCGCTTTTTCAGACATTATCGCGTTTATTCCAATTCGCTGAAAATAATTATCAAACGTACGCGAATTTTCCTGGAGTTGTGTTCTCGGGGACCGCCCTCAAGTTTAGCAAGAGAAGGAAAAATTCGTCGTCGCTTGTTTACGTCCTACATAAAACGTGCTATTAAACATTTTCACGTCCTACTCGTGCAGTGACGGTAAAAGAAATTTACAAAAATGCATGTACGTGCAAAGTTAATGTCGGTTTTACTAATCTAAACCTATTGCCTTTTGACGTTCTCGTTGCCGTCGCCGTCGTCGTTGCTAAAGCTCCTTATTAAAACAAAGACATAGTGGTGCTGACAAAGGCCTTCGGCGAAATTAGCGGGAAATCGGATTGAATCTGAATGTCGATAAGTGCACATGCGCAGTGATATAAATGTGATGGAAAATTGAAGGCCAGGTGAATATTATAAGAAAGGAGACTCTTTAGTCATAGAATCTATGACCTTTTCGCTACACCTCCAGTCGTCTTTTTACGGAGCTACAGTAGGACTGTTGTGTAGGTATAGACTCCATATAAAATTAATATCACTGAATTTTACCTTACCTTCTCATCGCAGTTCTTCTCAAAAAATATATCAAAGTAGGTCACAAAAGCCTAAGGCAGGAAAAAAAGAAGTTGGTCAGTCGTGGTCTTGGCATTTTTTCCACTCATTTGTGAACAAAACATCTTAATGGTATAATATAAAAGAAAGAGAAAAGTAAGCGTTTACAAAACAAAAATCCGTTTCGTCATCATTTAGTATTTAGAACACTTACACTGTAGAACTATACGCGAGCAAACAATCAAGCAAACAACACAAATCGAAAGAGGTGCAGTTTCTAAAGTCTACCACATAGTGCCAATATTTCAGTTGTTCATTTTATAGTACATTGCATCACAAGGACAAAATATCAGCTAGACTAAAAGAAATTCTCAGAAGTTCTCTTTAATGTTTTCCAGTGACGTTGTTTACTTGAGACTCACTTACCGAACATTGACTGTCTTTGTTTACTTCAATACTGAAAGGTGACTTGAATTGTAAATCATTTTGTTTACAGCTAGTGACGTCCAGATTCTAAAAAAAGACACAAGAAACGAACAAATCCTTCAACCTTTGAAATGTTTCAACCTTATTGGTGGGATGAGTATTGTTAAATACTATTTTGTTTTTTTCCTTTTGTCAGTCAAAAACTGGAAGACCTTATAATTATGGTAAAAGAAAAGAATAAACCGACTTCATCGGAAATTATCGACACTTCCGACATCTCACTTACAAACCTTCAGTCACTGAAAGGGCGAGTTTGGTAGTGTATAATAAGCGTTTCAGATCGGCTTTGTGTTAGTTGCCGTTCTAGCAATGATTACGGAGTTTAAGCATCAACGACGGCGACGGCAGCGAAAACATCACTTTTAAAATGAATTAGCGTTTTTTCAAACTTTTTCGCGTTTATTCCATTTCACTGAAAATGTCTAATATTGGCAAATTTCCCTGGAATTGATTTCTTGGGACCGCACTCAAGTTTAGAAAGATAGAGAAAATTTCGTCGTCGCCTGTTTACGCCCTCCATAAAACGAGAAATTAGGCATTTTCACGTCGTAGTCGTGCAGTAACGACTAAGAAATGTACAAAAAAGCGTGATGCACGTGCAAACGTATTGATTTGCTTAATATAAACCTATTGCTTTTTAGACGTTCTTTTTGCCGTCGCCGTCACTTAATTAAAACTCCGTATTACCTTGACTGTATAACGCGAGGAAATCTCGTCTCCAGGATTTACGATTTCTACAGACGGTTCTGTACAGACAGATCTTTTCATGCAGCTCATTTTGAAGCCTAAAAGAAAAGAAACATACAGTATTAACCAAAGAATCCACCGTACCCTTAATTTCTGAGACTTTCTGTCAAGGTTCAAGAGTAAAGTCTTATAGCATTTCGGGCCACGTCGAGTTGTCAAAGAGTGATCGTTAAACTTTCTGTGACTCAAGCTAGTGACAATTTTGAGATCGAATTTGCCCAATACTGTTGTTGAAAGTAACTTTAACGAGTTAATTAAAGGATAAAAAAAGAAGCTAAGATAAATCACATGCGTTATCATTACGTTAAGCATGTAAAAACAATTGCTCCTACCGTACACGTCATCCCAAAAGCTGAGTCTCTGTTGAACCTTTTCGCTATTTCCCAGCGCAGCGACGCAAATTGTACATCGATCTGGATAAACTATAAACAAAAATATCCACATTTAATTGTAATACATTAAGCCAAAACCACTAAGGGACCATGATTTGCCCTTAAATATTGTCATTACTGAAATTTTCCTATCAAAAGCCGCAGTGGAAGAGGGTGTTTCAGCTGATGAAGGACAGACTAACTGAATCTTCAAGGCCGTTCCTGTAAGCTAAGTAAACTTCCTACCAAGGAATTAAAGTGAGCAGGCGTACAGGATGACCCCGAGAGAAAATCTGGTTCCCAGAGGCCGTGATCGTTTTGGTCCTCACCAAGGATCACCCACCCGCTTTAGAATAACTCGACAAAAAACCATCTCTGAATAGCCGATAAAAACATACTCGCGGTAGAGTCGGTAAGGCAGGCTCTGGGGACGAGATTGATCGTGCTCTTTCATCAGACTGACAAAGGGATGAAAAGCTATTTCCTATTTGCAGTAGTCTTAAAACAGGCGTAAATTCAAAATATCAATCGAAAGGGTCAATCTAAATCTTAAATTTACTAGCTTTTGCAGTCGAGATGAGGGATGCGGCATCCCTGTGGAAAAAAAGAGCGGGAATGCGGGATCAGGACTTCCTCCCCTTCCATGCAGACCCTGAAACTTGTCATTGAGAAAATCGACGTAAATCTTACCACAGCCTGTTGGCTTCAACCATTTGTCCCTTGCCAGCAACACTGTGTCCAACATAGACTCAAAAAGGAGAAAGTAGCCCTAGAATGATTTAAAACACTTTTACTTCCAACTTATGAATATTTGGCGTGTTTTAAAAGCAATTAATCTGACGCTTTTTTTCGGAAGGCTCTCTCAAGAGTTGTATTATTATTGTTTTGTATTTAAAAATAATAAAAGCACTCAGCAGAAGTACAGTTACAGGTAGACAGAAAAGTGATAAAACCCTACACTGTAGTTTGAACTTACCATCCACTCTGATATGATAACATCTACCTAAACATGACAGAACAAAAATGAATTAAATCAAATGAAGAATGATCCTCGCAGTTGTGAACGCAATTTATGAAATTGCGTAAGAAGCCCGAAAAAAATTCAGGAATTCAATGGGGTTTGAACTTTGAACCCGTGACCTCGCGATACCGGTGCGATGCTCTAACCAACCGAGCCACGAAGCCACTGGTGTTGCATGGGAGCTGGTCAATTATATGTTTATATGTTCGCGTGAAAGAGATGAATGTGATAAATGTATATGAAATAAAGAACTGCAGAAGTAAAATCATGCAAATGAAGAATGATCCTCGCACGGGAACATATGAACACATAATTGACGAGCTCCCAAGATCACTGGCTTGTATCATGCACGCTCGTTCAACGCTCGATTACAAAACGAGTTTATTCCTACTAAATGCTCGGGCGCGCACAATTGGGACATGAAACTTTTCAAATTTAACTTTTCACGAAAAGGCGTCAACACAAGAAAACGGCTTTCTTTTTTCTTTCCTAAGCTCAGTCTCAGTTCTTTAGCATTCAGATCCAGACTGAAAAGATATAGCGGAGCCTCTCTTTGTATTCTCTTCAAATCAAAAAAGTTACGTACCTTCTCAACCGGTAATGTTACTGCTTCCGCTTTTCCTTTTACCAAAGTAATGATATTTTCTAGTCCATTTTCTCTAACGTACAAAAGAAACAATAAGAAGTGTTTTTTAAGCGTAGCAAAGTGCTGTTGGATTGTTAAATTAGGTTGTAAAATTTCTCGAAAACTGACTGTTAAGTGTGTTGTTGGTAACGCCGCTGTTGTTATCTCTGTAGTCAATAATTAGAGAGCTTTAGATTCGAGGACGAGTACGACTACGAGTACGAGATTTTCTCAAAACTAAGCAGGGCACGCTCGTGAACCAGCGTCATTTTGGCGGGAAAACGTGATAGCCGTGTAAGCCGTCGTCATTCTACAACGGGTTGGCGGGAACAAGTTATCAAATGTAAGACTAGGTTTTTATTTACCATTTTGCCATCGAGACAGGGCTTAACCTCCTTCAGCATAAATAACTGTAGTAACTTTTTTGGTGAAAAAAAAAAAAAAAAGTAAAATGAAGCTTTCTGGGGTCTTTTTTTAGAACACGCAAACGTTTACGTCCTCAACTCTAAAGCTCTCTAATGTCGCTGTCGTCCTTGTTACGGCTCTTTCCGGTTCAGCTTCAATAAAATTGAGGCAAAACTGATAGAATTCAAGAAGTAATCTAAAGTTTTACCTAACAATATCCATAGCTTGATAAATAATCTCTGATTGGTCGATTCCTATCACATGTTTGGCCCCAGCCTTGGCAGCGAACATGGAGAGTATTCCTGTGCCACATCCAATGTCTAAAACAACCTTACCGTCCAATAAGAGAAGAATAAGAGAAACATCAATGGGGATTTTACCTGGATGTACAAGCGGTGCATGTGTAATTAGACAGCGAAAAAATCTAACAAAAATGCAATTTATTTGAGTGTCAATGTATTTAACACGAAAGTAATAATTGGGGGGACACTATTTTACGTGGTCATCCGAGCCACGCGAACCTCTTGACTAGCCGCTTGCATTTCAAAGGGAGCACCTTTATTTCTCATTTAATTTAAGACCCTGAGTATTGGTCTGGCCCAGAAAATCGAACCCGCGACCTCCCGCTCTGCAGTCAAGCGCTCTACCGACCACCAATTCTAACAATTATTTCAAAAATTGATTCTAAATTCTTACAATATTGTCATTAAGAATCACTTCTGTATCACAAAGTGCTTGCAAAGGGAAAATATACTGTTTGAAAAATTAATTCTCAATTGTAGCAATATAGGCAATGAAAATGCATGTAATGCATGACCCATGTACCCAAAAGAAACTTGTAAAATTACAATATCACCGTTACCTTGTCTTTAAAAACTGTAGGATTGTTGAGAATGAAATCTCTGTAACTTTCTGTTCTTGTCTTGTCCTGCCGATACAGAACATTATAAATAGGTCTTCTTATCAACTGAATTCCAAAAACTTCATAATGGTCCAGGTTTGTTATCTTAGACTATATCTAGTTATTGAAACAGTTTCCTGTCGTCTCTAGTGTTGCTACGGATGGACATGAATGGCCGTTTTTAATGACGGATTTTCCGTCTGAAACGGGTTATCCGTTGGATAATTCGCGTCAGACAGATAATACGCCTAATTAATTTTGAAAATTGAACGGTTGGACAATTCGTCTAACCTTATCCATCTGTTTTTCCGTCAATTTTGACGGATTTTGGAGATCGATTATCCGTCTCTAGTGTGAAAACGGCCAATAAATGCTGTGCCTTCAAAAATTATCATGGGTTTTAAGGCTTCCTGGTGAAATTTGTTTGATATTTTCTTCAGTACTCTACAGAAACATTTTGTGTATGGGTAAAGGTACTCAGTAATGCCTTTAGCATAAAACGGCCCTTACACAGCAATATCCTGTTAACGTAGCTTCTCTAAATGGAGTCGAGTTGTGTTTTATGTACAAGCCGTAACAGGTTTTTTTTTCAAGAAATTAGCCACTGGGGATTTCCCTGGCACCCTCCTGTACCTATAAATTGTACAGGCCCCAACGGAAGAGGCCTAAAGGCATTTTAAAATACGAGTTTCAAAACGATTTGCTGCCATTTAATTTCTCAGTACTTTCTAACGTTTTAATTAACTCATTTAGTTTTAGTATTTTTTAGCAAAAGTCACTGTTAAATTTGCTCTTAAAATACGATTTTCAAAACGATTTGCTGCCATCTGATTTCTTAGTTCACTCTGATATTTTGGTTAACTCATCTAGTTGTGGTATTTTCAACACGAGTAACTGGTAAGTTTGCTTTCAAACTCGTCATTTCATTCTAACAAAGTCATAAGTCATAGCTTCAAAGATCCGATCTCCTCACTCCTGGTTTTTCAATTAAGCCTACGTATCGGACGGTATCCATTGTGATCTCAACAGTGTATTTGAGAACATTTCTGCGCCCGCCCCCGTTTGCTGCACTTTCATAAATTTCTTGTGGCATAACCTTCCCAATAGCGGATATCCGACAATACAGTACACTAGAATTAACCTGGCTTTATCATTCAACTAAGGGCGAAAGCACAGGTCGCACTTGGACTCGATTTGAAGAAGACTGAACGTTTTAGAGCTCTCTACACATATAATATGGCTCTATTTTAATAACAGGCCATTTCCGAGGTTCCCCAGGCCTCTGCATCAAAACGAGGTTAAGTGCTCAGCCTTTGATATGAAAACGATTTTTCATTCTCATGCGTATGAAACTTATTTTCCCAAGAAAAGTTGTGCACTTGGTCTCACTTTGAGATTGAGGGTTTTTGGAAATCGGAAGTGACCTATTCACAGTCAACCTAGTATCGTTCAGAAAGTTTATTCTACAACTTCTAACCTTTAACATCTCCTCGTGTATACCAAAATGCGCATAAGAGCTGAAATACGCCTCATCCTCACCATCACTGCAGCAGGCTGTTCTTGACCTGAAATTGATTCCAACAGAAACAATAGGATCATTTAAAAACAAGAAAAAGACTGACTACGAAAAGAACAGATAATGCCGAACACATGAAGCTGCGACATTTGCTTGAATGACGGGCCACGCTCGAGACTTCTTAGGATACTAAACCGGTTATACAGGGTTTAGGAAGGGGAGGGTGGATGTGCCGGGAGACTCGGTTAGCCCGACCCGCGAGTGACTTGGGTATAAGCCGAGGGATGATGATGATGTCCAAAAAAAACCTGTCAATTAGTTTCTGTCTTGCCTTTGTTTCGCTTATTTTTATTTTTTTCTTTACCTGTCCTTCCCTTCTTGTCCTTCGAAAAACACTCCCTGTGCAACAGATCTAAAGACAAATACATCGGACATAAAACAATAAAAAGTTGACCACAGATAAACAATTATCGCTTTCCTTTTCATTTAAAACTGAAGAGAGGTAGCCTGCACATTTGATGCCACCTCACTTAACACCAACTACAGCATGGGTCGGCAGCACCAGTGGAACTAAAATATTGGACAAAAAGAAGGAAAACATTCCCTTGCTGGCGCGTTTAGCGCTAGTTCAGCCTTATCCTTTTTTCAATGATTTTAAGGGAAAGAATGCGTCGCAGACGCTCTAAAATGTAATTGCTTTTTCATTTTATCCTGTCCAAGATTGTTTCTCCATCTCTCGAAACTAAGCTCTAGAAGTTTGGAGAAGGCCTTCGCGGCTTTGCCATTCGCTACCAAGAAAGTGCCCCGTGCATAATCCCGTCAGTTACGCTGTTGGGATGACCATGCAAAATACCTTAACTGGTGAATATCTTCTACTGCTCTGGCTAAATTAGCTTCTGCGCAGTGGGCGCGATTCTCCAGATGTTGAAGTCTAGTCAAAACATAAAAAATATAACTGATCAGTAAAACGCCTTGCCTCGATGGGTTTTACTTTAAAACTAGACGAAGCATGTTTTCCATCAGACAAATGGCCAGTAATACTTCCGATCGATTGTATCGCGATTTTGCTACCCTGCGAAGCAATCATTTTCATCTCTTTTTGTAGCCAATTGAACTCCCCCTCGCCCCGTTTCAATTTTTTGCCCCTCCTCGCGCATATCGTGCACTTCTCCCACATGACGTAAAGGAAGCAGTATCGACTGCTACGCCGCTACGATTTCGCAAATACTGATGTTCACCTGTTTTTAAAACAAGCAGGTTTCCAACACTGTTGCATCATACAAGCATGCGAGAATTTAGAACAACGCAAAGCCTAGACGTAAAGCACGAGCATTGAGCGATGACCAGTTTCTACCTAGCTAGCAACGCAAAAGTATTTTTGGGCGAGCGAAAGTTGCCCGTCTATTTTCGTTTATTCCGTGGCCCCCATCTTTGATTTTATCACTGAGAAAGACTGATGAGAATAGAAATATCTACCACTGCCACATTATTTTTTGCCTAGGTTGAGAACGCGCATGCGAGTGGTCAAAGGAGAGGTCTGGAGAGACGGTAAAAACGGAGAGATACATATAGACTGGGGAGAGATGTGAATAATACGTTTTCTTTGGCCACACACGCCCCTGGCCTATGCGCTTCGCGCGAAAGTATCACCCAGGTGCTTCGGGACTGGCAAAACCGATTTTGACAAAAAAGAATAAATAAAAAAACCGACTGTTTTGCAGTGTATTAAGAAATATCAACCCTGGGTTAGACGTTAGGGCGAAAGAAGGATACAGGGAAGGTGAAGAGGAGAATCAGGAGTGTTTCTCACTTTCCAGTGTTTTCGGGCAGACATGTCACATGTTATTTTTTCCCCGCCCCATCTGACCTGCCGCAACTCCTCGACTATTTTAGAATTTAGCTTAACGTTTACTCGAGAAAAAGATTGGCACGCTCTAAGAAAACGCTTGCAATGCAGGAGAGTTTCTACCTACAAGCAATTGCCAAGATCACTAACAATCACTGTAAGTGTAACATTTAATCCTTTCAGTTGTGAAACACTGACGAAGAAACTTATACATGTAATGCCAGGCCTGACAAGGAAACTACACAAAAAACAAGTAAACAAAAGACTTTTTGAAGGTAAGATTTGACGCTGTAGAACATACTTTCAGTACAGCCATTGACGTTTCAATGTTGAGTGACCTGTGGCTAATCAAAAAGCAGAAGAATAGAGCAATCACAATGCACGTTCCCACGCTTTGTGATTGGTTTAGTACTCCTGCTTCTGCTTCTGACTCTTCTTCAATCTTCTTCAATCTTGACCGTTCGACAAACTGGTTTTCACTAGATCATAAGCGAAACGTAAGCGACGGAGTCATAGGCGGAATCGGAACGTTGTTTTCACCAGATAATACGCTCTACGCTTCTGATTACGACTCCGACTACAACTCCGTCCCTAGTGAAAACCAGCCTTAAGTCTACATAATTTTGTAGCCAGTATAGTAATGGGACAGTTTTGATAAAAACTCATATTTTATATTCATAATGTATATTTGTACCCCTGTACCTTTGTTTCAGTTCCAAATACTGTGAGTATGGTATGCTTCCCTCTATATAGTTTTTCAAAGAAAAAGAATAATGAGAGGAACTAAATTAATGCATTAAAAATTGTATGATAATGTACATGTATATTCAGTCTTGTTTGCAAGAAAATTTATTGCTGACCATGCACAGAAAGTGAGAAAGTGCCGAACTTTCTTCCTGATTAGGGGTTAAGAAATTGAGTGAATCAAGTTTCAGGTCAGTTTTCCTGGTATAAAAGCCCTAATACACTCAGTTTCCTGACCCTGATTACTAAACGTCAGAGTCATTCAGCATTTATTGCAGGCCATTTGTTGCTGTGCAAAATAGCCTTGCTGGGTCTGCACTATTGGCTGACTATTCGTCACCAGGCTTAATTTGCTTAACATCACCCATGAGTTTTACAAATAACAAAACTTAATGAATGTTGCTTTGGGCCCACATTGTTAATTGCACAATGAGAAGCTATTGCTTGGTGGTCACTCAAGCAAAGCATTTCAGTGAGCTTCACGTGCCTACATGTAAATGCCCGCTGCCCAATTGCCAGAGCAATGGTTTTTGAATTAAGCATATACAGTTTGTAAGCAAAAATCATTTTTTTTGTGCAATTAATTAAAGATAGATTGTAAAACAAGGAAAAGTTTGAACTATGGTGTAACCTCCATTTCAACAATTATAGGTGCCATTGACTATAATGTCATTACACTGTATGTACAATGTACACTGTACCTTCTTGGGAAATTCTTTCACCCATATTTCTGTCAACTTCTACATCCGAGTCATCATCAAAATCTGAAGCATTTACAAAAAAATTTTAACAGCTCAAAAAAAGAACATAAAATGGTGCAAACTTTCAGTAGCTACATGCATACTTATAATTTAAAGTGCAGATTGCATTTCCCTGCAACTCACCCAGGTTTTTGACATCTTTTTTAAGATGGCAGAATACATTAAAATTTTAGATACTACTTTGAAGATAAAGTGGAGCATTCAGTTTGGAAGTTTTCATACCTTAAGTCCTTTGGAATGGCATGTTTCATTTGTATGCAAGCTGAAAAATTGCATGTCTAGACATAACTCCTCATCAATTGTATCATGTGATTTAAATGCTGAGAACCATCTACATTGGTAATGTGGCCATGATTTGGTAATGTGTTTCTCTTTCACCAATTTGAAACAACAAAAATAAGAGAGCTACAACCTAGCCCCTTTAAATACAACAACAAAAAAATGACATACCATATTGTAAGAGGTCATCATTAGGAAGAACTGGCTGTAAAAACTCATCACTTTCCCATGGGAGAGGAGGTGTGAGACTCTTCAAACTTTCAGGGGGAGGTCTCTTAAAGAAAAAGGAAAAAATAGCATGGGAGAAAATACAATGCAATACTTTATGAAAAGTATCATTAACTCACGTTATATAACTATTTTTCTTTATATACACTGTAAATGACACAGACTGTAACTGCCAACATGGTTCAGTGGGCAGAAGGCCGCAGGGTAAATTTATGTAACTCTCGCAAATGAACTACCAGTAATACAGTGTATACGCACCACATATAAAATAGATAACCCACATTTCTTGACAAAAAAACAGTCTTTGAAATGAGCACCTTACCATTTTCCTAACGAAATTTATCAGCTTGATGCATCCATAAAAGTCCAATCCTAAAAAATGAAAATGTTAAATAGTTACACTTTTAAATGAACTTCTACAATATAAACATTATTTTTTTGTTTGAGAAACATATTATTGTAAATTGCAAGTTTGGAGCTAAAATAAAATCAAGAAACCATACAATTTGCATGGTGCTTACTGTGCATTCTCGTTATTTTGAGGATATCAACTCCATGTCTCGTGACACAGTGACTCCAAATGTTATCTGCATTTCTAAAGCACTCCTCACAAAACAAACAAATGGTGGAGTTTTCTTGTTCCTCATCCCCCATTTCTTCCCAGTCATCTTCATTCTCACTTCCACTATCTACAAATGAAATGGGAAACAGGGCTGTTGACAAAACCTGGGTCGCACCAGATCGTCTCAAGCCCTGTAAACCTTCCCTGACCTTTTGTCATTTAGTGAAATACAGGAGTTGATCCAATCTGACCTCCAATCCAGGTTTTATTGATGCCTGGGAAACAGCCCTACTATACAGGTGGATGATATCCTTTATGACCCTAGGTCAGCTGAACTCAGCCCCATAAATCACAGGTTGTCCAACTGTGACAGGAAATCATGTGATATGCATGTATAAGAGAATAAAGTTTCCTTATGTCATTTCTCATTTAAAACATTTAACATAATACATAGAAACAATCAGGTCTAGCCTATTCCAGACATTCAGATAGTAGAGAGCAGTGCAAAATGGCTCTCATTTTTCTTTGCATTGTCTCCGCTATCTGAACATCAGGAAAAGGCTATGAGTTTGCACTTTTAATTAAAATAATAAAAGTGTTAAATTATCCTTGGGACACGATGTTACTTGCAACAATAAGAACAAGTGGTTCCAGGGCATTGAGTACAAAGGTGGATGCCTGCTGCCCTAGGTGTTGGTGCACACGCACACTTGGAGTTTGGAGTTTTGGATTGAAAGGTGTGGGATACCAGCACATGTTATGCAACCATAGTAACAACAGAACTTTCTGACATTAAGCTCCAGTGAGAAAAATATGGTCAAGGCTTGGTCTAACAGTTTCACACAAATCACTGTATTTTGTCACCCCATACCTTGCACTGGTGCCTTTGTTCACAGGAATGTGAGAAAGGTCTTTCATCTATCATTAACTTCCCTAGAGCTAGATAATTTACTACACTATTAGCGGGGACCGGACGTTACCAGACTGGCACAGTTTGCAATTATAAAATGGAGTAATTAATTAATAATGCCCCCTAATGAATAAGTGAAATGAGATAGACACTGTTCTAAGGATTTTACCGAGATGTTTAAAAATAATATTTAAATGTCGCGCCCCAAATGCCTCCTCTAAGTCCCAAAGAACGAGATCAAAAACTGCTGCATGAGGCGGGGACTTTGGTATTTCGTCGTCATTTACGAATACTGGAACTTAAACCACTTACAATTGTCAGATTTCCCCTTACATTTTAACAAGAACCCGAGCGTTTGAATCCCGGCTGGGATTTTCGAACCCCGCACTACCACGCCAACCATTTGAGCCGTGGAGATAAACAACTCTTAACAGAAAGATTTTCGAACTTTATATAATCTCCTCCCTCAGCATTATAGGGATGTTTTAAATATGTGGGGGAAAAGATCTTACAAATTACTCCATTCTCACCCTCGTGGATTTCGAATTCGTCCGCCATCTTGAAAATTGAGCCTCCGTTGTGGGTTGCCAGCGTAATCGAGATATTTGAGTGTCGCATAAATGACAGACGTAGCCAAAAGTCAATAACATCTCAAAATGGCAAAGATGGGTGAGCTGTCAGAGAACGAGAAATTGCTGTTTTCTCATCTTAACAAGGGTGAAAGTTTTATTTCTTGGTAAATAGATGCTCCTAACTGATACTTTTCTAAAATTTTAACGTTTTTTTCTTTCAAAGGCAACGACCAGGAGGCGATCAAGCTTTTGAGTTCTGGCGATGTTAGGGTTGACTGCTTGGACGAGGTAGGCGTCAAAAAGAATTGTTGGAAATATTAAATACATTTGTTTGCCAGTTGGATCTACCTTTGTACCTATTTTTTTTTTTTAAAAAAAGGCTTTGATTGGTTCCTTAAAAATATCTTGATCGCGACCTTAGTTTTAAAAACCCAGAGTCCAATCTGAATATGAAGTATATACCAATCTGAAGATATTTATTTGCAGTGAGTTTTTCATTACCTAATTAATAAGCTAACTTATTTTGAATGAGGCTGAGTAGGATATGAAGAATTAAGCAGATCAAGGAGGGTGTTATCTACCAAGGCCGAAGGCCGAGGTGGATAACACCCTCCGAGATCTGCTTAATTCTTCATATCCTACGAAAGCCGAATTCATTAATTGCTTAATTATTCATTCAAAATCATTCCTAGTTTAAAAACATAGCTAAAACACGCTTACCTGCATCGATGTTAAGTTCATCTTCGATACTGTATGTTTAGGTTTGTCCAGCTCCGCAAGGATTCTCCAAATAGCAGATATCGCCCTCCGAGTTGTCTTTTTGCTGTTTTTGCTTTGTTTTTAGCTATTATTTCGCCTAGTTCCAGCTGTAGTTCTTACTCTTGAAATGAGTGAAATGTCCGCCATGTTTTTTTTCACGACCAAATGACTCAACCTCGTCCCCAGGTCTTCTCAGTTAACGGTGCCTTAACCTGTAGAGGGCTGCATTTTTTTCCTCGTTAAACACAAAATTCTTCCAAATTTGGTCGTCAGTAACTGGTAACTATGCGTGTGCTATTAGCCAATCAGAATTGGGAAATATTTTGAATGAATAATAATATGTTTTTAGAATTTTTATATACGCTAAATGCAAAGATTCGTGTTAGTGGTTATTAAAACACATATATTGAATAAAACACTACCATTGTGTCAGTAAATGTTTATTTAATTTTGTGATTAAAAAAAATTGTGTCTTTGTTGTCACGTCTGACTGCGCCTTGCATGCATGACTCCTCTCTCTTTCTTCCTTTTAATTTTGAATAGATGATTTTTATTTTAATCAGTGCACATTATGCTTTAATTTATATAATTTCACCATTTTTTAAGAGAAAATGATGGCTATTATTTCCAGTTCTATAATTCACCTTTTTCACATTGCCCATTGATGCATATTGTTTACCAACCCCCCACCCCTAAACAAAACAAAAGGAAGAAAAAAATAAAGAAAAAAAGAAAAAAAGTGCTTAAGCATTGTCTAATTTCTCTTGGGAAGAATGTAATACCTACAAGCGGCGACAAAATTGTTGAGACATTGTGCTCAGAGAACAAAAGAATCTGCACCCCTGCCCTGTCCCCTCCATTCAAAGTTGGGGTGCTTGTTGTTTTCTATAGGTAGCTCGAACATCAGCACAACATTGCATGGAGGGGATTAGGGAGGAAAAGCTATATTTCCTTCTTTTGAAGTCAGTAAAACATTAAAAAGTCCTGTTTAGGGTGAAGTTTCTCAACTCATTTTGTTGCCGATTGTAGAAGAAATTGGAAACATTTTGGGGTGTAAGCAAGGCCAGGGGGGTTACTCCAGATTCTCTGGATTGCAAGTGACAGGGATGATTGAATGGGGGCAAAAGTCAAAACCTAAAAAAATCCCTGGACCAAAATTTAACACCAAAAAAATCCCATGCTGAATTTCTGAGCCATAAAAATTTCCAGAAAGCATAAATTATGTTCACGAAAAATAGAAACATTAGTTTTGAATACCCCCCAAAATCCTACTTTAATCAAGCTACCCCCCAAATTTCTGAAATCGAAAATTTCAAACCTCAAAAAATCCTTAGATCATCCCTGTCACCTGAAATCCGGAGTAGCCCACCCTAGGAAACAAGGTGTATTATTGGCAATGTAAAAATAGTGAATGTCAGCTAGTGGTACATTAGGTAGTAAAGATGAGTTTGTATTTATTTCAGCATGGGATGACCCCCTTAATGAATGCAGCATATAAGGGGAAAGCAGAAATGTGTGAGTTACTTCTTGCGCAAGGAGCAGATGTTAATTCTAATTATCATGAACATCAGGTATGAGAACCTTTTCCAAGACTGTAAATTCAATTTTCAAAGTGCAAATGCTGTTAACAAGCTTGTGAAACTGTATTACATGAAATCAGATGCTGTTGGCTAACGTGTTGTTTTTCTCTGAAAATGAACCGTGGAATTTTGCTCAAAATAATTCTTGTGATAATTTTGGTGTTCCTTACGGTTGAAAAGGGTAAAACATATTCTTTTTTCCACATCAAGTGTAGAGCAGGCTGTTTAATTCTAAGATTTCTGATCCCAAGTTACAAAACTGTACCTTTTCTAAACTTGTCAAAGTAAAAGTTCAAAGTGTTTACTGTTGAAATCTTTGACAGTTTAGGCAAAGAATAATTTGAGTGACCAATTGTTTGTTTTTCTGTGGAAGAGACCTGGAGACTGCTTGACTGGATTTTTGTCCTTGGATAACTTAATTAACCTTAATCTTATATAGTTATCTTATAACCCTTAATTCATAATGCTACCCTAACTTTTCTGTAAACCAAACTAAGTCTTTATAATTTATAATGGAATTATCATACCTATTTCAGTACACAGCACTCATGTTTTCCTGTCTCTCAGGTACGTCAAATCTACTATAAAAAGGTAGAACCATAATACAAAAAGTTTAAACCTTCTGTATGTTTACGAGCCAACCTAGACTATGGTCTCAATTTAAAGTGGTAGTTATTTAATACATGCATGCATCAATGGTTCAAATTGTGAGAAGAATGATTGGGTTGGAACTATTTCCAAGACAAAAAGGTAGTCATTGATGGGAATGTACAGTGTTTTCTGTACATGGTAATTTGAAGGTAGAATTTAGCAGTTGGTCAGAAGACACTGACTAAGAGCTTTTTCTTGCTGTTTTAAAAGTATCGCAGTTATAAACCATAGGCATTTTATGCAGTTAGTACATGTATATAGGACCTGCAAAGAAATTTCTCCCACCCACTGTACTATACACTGTATGTAGGGAGTCTGAAGTTAGAGTACACTGTATTAAAGCTTGATACATGTACAGCAAATTGCCTTACCTATACCCTCCAGCCTTTAAATTTAATTATCATTTGTTCAAAATACTTTGCTATTTCGGATTGTCCCCAATAATCCCCTGGCTATTCTTCATAACCAGCTGGCGCAGACCATACGCTTGATTGATTATTATTTTTTGGAAGGTGTAGGCAATAACTAACCAATACGTTGGTATAAAAGTATTTCCCCAATTAATTTTAAAATAGCAATGTCATTTCCAGGCAGTGGTGCAGCAGCCTTTAAAGCTGTTAATGCATGAGTGTCTTACACTCAAACCGGCGAACTCATTGCCGGATTTCTGTCTAAATTTGTTCCAAACAAGCTCGACAATATGCAAAAAATATTACCCTATCGATATCATCTAATTTGAGGAGCATCTGGAAAAAACATCTGTTAAAATTCTGAAACCGTGCCAAGAACAGGCAAATGTTTTGATGAAAGTTTACAGGGAGGTAAAATTGTTAAGAACTAAAAATATTTTAAATGGGTAATTTGAATAAGAGTATTATTGAATTGGGCTTTCAAACAATTGCAAAGAATTATGCAGATCTCGGAGGATGTCATTCAACAGGCCTTTGTCCTCACAGGATCATCCTCTTCGATCTGGCGGCATAATTATTCACATCATACTCAGCCTCATTCAATAATTTTAATTGTTATTATTATTTTTTTATGAATGGTTGGAGAGCTTCTAGGAAGAATAAAATGTAATGTGTTGACCCACAAGATGACATGGCACTGTGGCTAAGCATCTGTCTTCTCTAACTTGTTCCTAAACATTAGGATCTGTTGATGCAACAAGAGTATTACTTGAAGCAGGAGCAAGGGTGAATGCTGAGAACAATCTTGGAAGAACTGCTGCTCAGCTTGGGGCCTTTGTTGGTGAGTTGTTCATAAAACATAAGGGTATACGTAGTTCATGATCATCAACTTGAAAGAAGTAACACGCCATGTACATGTTTAATTTGCTGCGTGTTCACCAACCGGTGTAAAAGTTCAATATTTAACAACAAAATAAGCCTCTTCCATGCGCTTCAGAGAGACTTGGCTTACTGCAAAATAATGTAATGGACTATACTATGATGGTTCTTTGTGGTAAAGAAAGTTGCAATTATTACAAGGCACTGTGCTGTGTGTGTAATAATTCCACTCCTTTCACAAGTTTAGTTATTAATATCAATCTTTTTTGGAGAAAAAAGAAAGAAAAACATTATTTGTTATCTCATTGTACAGGTCAGACTGACTGTGTTAGCCTTATTAACAACTTTTTGTCAGTGGAAGACCTGGAGTATTATACCAAACCTCAAGGTATTTAACTTACAGGTTAATGCAAAATTGTACAATGTAGGAATAAATTTTA